CCCTCTGGATCCGCCCCTGGCACGAGTCAAAGTAAAGCATCATACATCTTGCTGGCCGAATACAGCTATGGTCACAGAGCTGACGGTTGCCCATTGCAGATAATACATATACACGATGACCCGACTGTTATTTGCACATGCAATTGGTTCATGGTGAATAATGGGGCTTGTTACCTAGGATACGCATATAAATCACCACCCTGTCTGGAACACATGTTATGATCAAACTTTTGGGTGATTAATTATAAACAAATATTTTGTGTAATTATTGATAATATGTCACGCATATACATAACACCATTATTTATAAGGAATTCAATCTCACAATTTCATAATACATTAATAATTGGTATGAAAGTTGATTATTTATAAACTTTATCTTCAAAATAACATATAATACGGTTAAAATGACATAAAACAGCATGTGTCACAAAACACAATTTTCCCGGAAAACTTTTGGTAGCGCCTATCTACGAATCTTGTTTTTCCTAAAATAGAACATATATATTCAATCTACTATATTCAAAACGCTTACATATTTCGAGTATTACAATTAGTATCATCACAACAATTTCAGATAATAGTGGGTCAATGAATCACGCTGGCCATTGTGGATTTGTATACAAATGATATTCATCTGTTGTGGCACTGTGATCGGATGCAAATTGTTTTCAACAACTGTCATTTAACATTTATAAACGGTTATACATAATGTATTTATAAACATTTATGGCGTCTTTGAATTCAGAGTGTATAACTTACACACTAACTTCACTCCATATTAGGCAGTATTTCAAGGGTGGAGTGTGTAAGAGCAACGCAAGACTGGATGACAAAACAGTCCTGATAACTGGCGCTAATACCGGTATTGGAAAGGAGACTGCTCGAGACATGGCAAGAAGAGGTGACTATATTAAATACACTTGTGTACAATAAAGTATTACATGTGGATGCACGTTTCTGTGATGAATTTGTTTTTGCGTATCTGTTGACTGACTTAATTAGCTGATTACTAGCGAATTGCTGTGTTATGTCTGGCATCGTTTAGGCCATTTGATGTTCTGGACGGAACTCGACTCAGTGATTTGGAACTAATTACGAGATAACCGTCGCTATTCGGACTACTATTTCTGACAGTTAGTATTCGCAAATATTAATATAGTGAACGATCAATCAAAAAATATGACGTGTTCAGTACTTAGTGTGATTGGCTGTATGATTTAAGGTTACGCCTTAGTCTTTATACTGTTTTGTAATTGGTTAGAGTTTTGAAAATGAATAAAGTTGATTTAGTTGGTCTTGGCGAGTACACAAGGACAGACGCAGTCCAGTCCTGGAGAGTCTTGGGGCGAGCCTTGAGGCAGTCCAGTCTTGGGCTAGTCTTGGGTCAGCCTTGCGATAGTCTTGGGGACTTTTCCCCAGGGCGCTGTGTCTTATAGAGTGCTCGACTGATCGACTAAGACGAAAGTTGAAACGTATTTTGCTATGTGTGTCTTATTTAACTGTAATGTTTAAGTGACTTTCCCGATCCCGTACCTCAAGGGGACGCGATAGAGAGACCAGACGCTATTCCCCCCTGGCACGTGTGGAGAACTCCAGAGAGAAGAATCCCCGTGATATTTCTATAAGCACAGTTTACGCAAGCAGTGCTACAGCTACTGTGTTTGAGTTAAAAATGTTTGTTAATGAGTGGGTTGTGGTAACAATACACCGTCAAAACATAACACTGGGTATTAAATTTGTCTGATGACACAGTGGCGAATGGTACAATTGTCTATCTAGACAAGAGACTTAAAATAGACTGGTATCGTGACTGTTTTTTTGGGTCCAATGAAACCATTTATAATATGATCAGATAATTCATTTAGCTAATTATCTGCAAATCTTCTTGGAGAATGGCGATGCCTCTCAAATGAGTCTTGTTATGCAAGATTGATTATTGATTTAATTGAAAACTAACTAAATTGATTTTAGGTGCACGTGTAATCATGGCATGCAGAGATCTGGACAAGGCTAACAAAGCCGCTGATGAAATAAAGCAAGAGACCGGTAATGAAAATATAGTCGTAAAGAAGCTAGACTTAGCGTCCCTGAAGTCAGTTAGGGACCTCGCAGCTGATATCAACAAAGGTGGGTATATGCGTTGTATTTGTCATCTGTTAATTTCTTAACATGCCAGTGTATATGTATGCTGATTACACAAGTATACATGTCTCGTACTTAGTAAAAGTTATCGATATTTCATCATTTCTTGACAGAGGAATCACAGTTGAACATCCTGATAAACAATGCGGGTCTGATGTGGTGTCCACGTATGGAAACCGAAGATGGATTTGAGATGCATATCGGAGTTAATCACCTGGGTACTTAATATAGATAGTATACATTGTGTTGAGCAAACCCCACTCTACACTCGAACTAAAATGCAAGAGGCGTATGTAATGAGATTTATCCAACGTATCCAATGTATGCAATCGTGTTCGTAATTAGTAATAACTGTCTAATGTATTTAATTAACTCGGATGCACATTTCCGTTGCATATTTTTGCTTGCGATGTGTACTATTTTCTGTGTGTTTACTTCTAATTTAAAATACGGTGAGAGCTACTTTGTTTTCATTAGGTTTACGCGGGTGCAATTTCCGCTTCTGTACACCCAACCTTTCGGAATGGCCACTTTTGAAATAGTTGCTTGTTTGTCTCGATGGAATGCAAATGCCATACGTGTAAAGTAAATTTAGGTGAATCATGAATTATCCCCAAGTGAACATTTCGTACCAATACAACAACGTATGTGGCTTACGCTGCTTTCTCCAGATTGTTTTTTGGTTACGAAGTTACTGTGCATTGTCCAAATCTGTGCTATTTGACAGAAGCGTTTCAGCTGATAACAGTATGTTTCTGTTCTCACAGGACATTTCTTATTAACCAATTTACTGCTGGACCTAATAAAGAAATCATCCCCGAGTCGGATCGTCACCGTGTCCTCAATGGGACACACTTTTGCCAAGGAAATTAATTTTGATGATATCAACGCCGAAAAAAGTTACAATAGAATAAACGCCTACTCTCAAAGTAAACTGGCAAATATATTGTTCACGAGAGAACTGAGCAAAAAATTACAAGGTATGTTTGCAATACACATTAATGTAGTACTTCATTCAAATCATCGAAACCACGGTATGCGTTTATTTGTACGTTATTACCATCACTAACAACAATGTACTTTTTGACCTTTGCTAGTAGTAACTAAATGTACAATATATTAACTGGGTCTAATCGAAGTGTCCTATGTATTGTATTTCGTCATTAACCTTTCATAGTGCATTATTTTAAAAACCGTGGTACGCTATCTTAACAAGTGGCAGTATGCTTTAAAAACGTGAAAAAATTACACTCAAGAATCACGTGACTGTAACATCATATTCACCTGTTAACAAAAAGATACATGGTCCATATATAACCATACGTTTGTTCATACGAAATCGAATTATTTAAATAAATAACACATGTCGATTTTATATCTATAATATGTAGCATTTTTGAAGGTGTTGTATATCTAACATCTGCACCATATTGTAAATTATTTCCTTCGATTAACAAAATAATTTATTTCTGAAGACGTCAATATATTTACTGTTATAAAAACACATTGACAACATCTTCAGTATACATTAAGGTAACTGTATGAGCGGCCTTCACAAACTGTTAGGTTAATCGGTGAGCGAATGCAGTAGGAAAACGAATCGCATACGTTGCTAAAATAATGTTTGAAACAAAAACTCTCTTTGACAAGTGTATTAAACAATCGATATGTATAGCGAAACAGTCCTGATTGACCCTATTTCAAACGGTCATTACACTCTATGCTATGATTGTATTGTAATGGTTATTCCATCTTTTCCCACAAAAAAATTGGCTTCTTTTTCTCCGTAGATTTTGAAAAAGTTGACCTTAGGTTGGTTTTGAACCCACAACACAATCGCAGCAAGTAGATTCTCTAACGACTGAACTAACAGAGAGTTGGTCGGTTTACGAAGATAATTACGTAAACAAAGCTAGTATTGTCTTATCCATTTTGAAATAAGTAAGCGTACAATTGTATTTACGTAAATAAACCGTGTGCACGGGACAAAGCAACTAGTTTTTTTATCTTTACTTGTTATCCCGTGTTTATGATTGCAAAGTTGTGGTTGTGTTGTGGTCAGCATCTTCTAAACGCACGGGGCAGATGTTTACAAGATTACATTCATAAACGCACTAACATGTGAGATTTTAAATATTAAATAAAACGTCCTGGAACTTATTTTTCAGAAAAGTAAAGAACAATTATCACGGATGACTCTCTCATTATATTTGTAACCAAAAGAGCATTTTGGTAATGTCCATAAACAAAGAGTATCTTTGTCCCTCAATAATAATTAGCATACGTTCGCAAATATATATATTTTTTGAATTGATACAGTTGGTGTCATCATTGTAATTTGTCACAGGAAATTGCAAAATTAATTTTAATTACAAAGCAAATTGTTGTCATAATTATATATTAGCAGTATTGGTCATTGTCATTGACTAAGTTGTTTTCAACCATCATTTGAAATTAAAAACTATGATTATGATAATTTTAATTAATAAAGCAAATTTTGTCATAATTATATATTAGCAGTATTGGTCATTGTCATTGACTAAGTTGTTTTCAACCATCATTTGAAATTAAAAACTATGATTGTGATAATCTTAATTATAAAGCAAATTATCGTCATAATTATATATTAGCAGTATTGGTCATTGTCATTGACTATGTTGTTTTCAACTATCATTTTAAATTAAAACTATGATTATGATAATTTTAATTATAAAGCAAATTATCGTCATAATTATATATTAGCAGTATTGGTCATTGTCATTGACTAAGTTGTTTTTAATCATCATTTGAAATTAAAAACTATGATTATGATAATTGTAATTATATAGCAAATTATCATCATAATTATATATTAGCAGTAGTAGTCATTGTCATTGACTAAGTCGTTTTTCAATCATCATTTAAAATTAAAAACTATGATTATGATAATTAACTGAAATTTTGTTGTTCAAATCAATTCTTTATATTTACAGGAACAAAAGTAACTGTTTATTCACTGCATCCTGGCGCAGTACGAACAGAGCTGGACAGATATATACCTGCGTATTTTAGATACGCAATGTATTTTCTGTTATATCCTATATTAGCCCTGACATTGAAGTCGTCAAAAGATGGAGCACAAACTTCTATTCAATGTGCTGTTGCGGAAGAACTCAAAGATGTCTCTGGATTGTATTTCAGGTGACTATAATAATGTGTAATATACTTGATGTATACAAACACAAGTTGGCAAAACTGTCTGTTTTATTTACTTTCAAAAAGGAACACGACAGTTGAAGTAATTCCACTGTTGATGACATACGAATAAAGAAACCGATCAGCTAGCGGAAGAGTTCAATTTGTTTCCTTTGGGTTTACAAACCATTAAAACCTAGAAGAAAACCTAACAATAATTCAATTCTAACTTTTCAAAACAAAAACATAATGATATATCAACTCTTTCAAATAATGTGTGTTAGAGGCAATTTGTTTAATCAAATGCAGTCAGCCAGGTGTCGCACCAACGCTTTGAAGCAGAACTAAAACAAAACTGTGAACTAACAGCCGCTTTCAGTGGTACTTCATTGAACTACAACTACACCATTTTATCAAACCTAGCATCGAAAGGTACATAAATGATGAATATAATAAAATAAAAACAAACCAGCAATACAAAGAAGAAAATCATGTACAGTATACGTTTTTCATTAAAATGTACACTGAAGCACATTCAACTAGCATCTGATTTTTTTTTTTTACCATTCGTTTCTGTTACTTACAATATCAGTGATAGTATCTTCCTACTTATGATATGGATTTACATGTTTTATTGAATTCACAGTGACTGTGTTCCCAAGCAGCCAACCCCTGCAGCACAGGATGATGAAGCTGCGAGGAAACTATGGGAAGTTAGTGTAAAGATGGTTGGTTTAGAAGAATAGGTTTTTGCAAGATCTGTAACAATCATACTCGATTTATGGATGTCGGCTTGTAAACGATGTACATTTAATATAGAGAATTATTCCATACAGTAGAGAGGGAAATATTTACTGGGTTACATTTTAACGGATTTAATGTTGCAGGGATATTCACTGGGTTTTAAATCACTGGTTTGTGAAGGAAACAATACATTCTGTTGTTAAATTTGCATATTCACTGCGTTTTAATTTGGAGCACTTGGCTGTTAACTAATAAGCGAAAATTAAACCCAGTGAAAAATTAAGTCATATACAGTATATCAATACATGCATTGCGCATCCTACTGTAAATGCATTAATTATTCACTGGGCTTTAATTTCACTATTTTCGCTGATAAGTAAAATCCGCTAATTTAAATTAAATCTAGGTAAACATGTAAAATAACAATAAAACTCATTGTTTCCTTGACAAATTCTTGAAACTAAAACGCACGACAAAAATAGTTTTACAGTATTTTAGCATGTGTGATTTGAAGATAAATGCAATTCTATGAAAAAACTATTCAAGTAATGATTTGGTAGATATTATAGTATAATTATTCAACAGCAATACTCATGTTCTAGCTTTAATCACTTGCCCATGTTAAAAGGTTTTTAATGTATATTCGATTTCAAAAATATAATATGTAATAAATTTTATATAAATTTAAATTGTGTAAGATAATTTATAAATCACATTTACAAAAATGTAGATACTTTAATAACTATGCTAATTAACACGATTCGTGTTTAACTCCAACCTGTTGATTTTTCAATAGGAATGACATTTGATGATGATGCTCACGATTGAAGCACAATGTGATTAGATGTTGTCTGTGGACAAGCTTGGTCTCCTTGTTGACAGATTGCAACATTTCCTCCAGGTTAAGTAAATACACATTGTTAGTATTTCCTCTATCACTGGCACGTGTGATCTTTTTTAAAACGTCTTTGTTGAGCATGAATTATTCAGCTTCATATTTACGCCCCCTCGAATCATCATATTACATAAGACACGTATACATTTGAAAGTAAATCATAATGTTTCATAAATTTCTCGACAAAACATCAAAATGATGGTGATAACTTCTATGATTTCTTTAATAAATTTGATATGATTTCTTCTGATTTTGAAACATTTTGAGTTTAATATTTTATGAGTTATACCGGATTCGGCTGATACCCCGCCCATCCTTAACCCCGCCCATGGGCGATGTTTCAAATAGTGGGCGATGTTTTGGTCCACACATTGCCTGACTGAACCAACAAACATTTTTACAGACCCCAATTTTCCCGTCCGACATCTTGTATGAGGGGAGGCAAGGGGGGTAGCTGGTACGGTTTTACGGGAAATAAAAAGGGCTTTTCACAATTTACAAAGAAAAAAAAGACGTTTTTACAGTGTTAACAAATGGAACATTGAATGGTCTGAAGAGCTCTCCGACTCAAATTGTCCGCCATTGCTGCGCCGTGTTAAGAGACGCATGCGCATATTACCCTCGTAATGCTCTTCATTCGGTTAGAGGGCCTTTTACGTCTTGACATTAAATTTTGTAGTGAATTGTGTCATCTAGTCGTTTTTACAGTTTCTAAAATGTAATTTCCCTGGATTATTCTTTACGATTTTTTTATTTGGACGTGAATTTTTGTACGTACGAGAAAAATGACACATTTTTACAGTGTACGAAAAAAAATATTTGATTACGTTGTACGTCTAGCCTGTGATTACAGAATTACGGAATTTATTTTTT